CCACTACACTCGGTGCCTGAGCGTGCCTCCATAATACCACTACACTCGGTGCTTGAGCGTGTCTCCATAACACCACTACACTCAGTATGTATCCGTTTTTTTTTTTTTAAGGTTTTATTTTATTACTTCCTACTATCATCACGCTTGTACTGTGTCCCAATAAAGTAATCTTCACATGATGCCTGTGGCACTGAAACTAATATGGCTTCTTAAAGCAGCGGGTGGGTACGTCAGGAGTTGTGATATGTTTTATTCAGCTGTGTCTTTTAGCATATGCTGTAGAAAACTCAGATGGATTAAAATTGAAATGGTTTATTTAGAGTAAAAAATAAAAATTAAAAAATATAGAAAAACATTTTTTTTTAAATTAATTGCAGTCAAGCATCCATGACTTTTGGTTAAGCACTTGAGAGCATGAAATAGCATTTTTTTTTATATTTATTTATTTATTTATTTTCTACAAATGTACATCTATTTTTTACGATCTTGCAATAAATTAAGTTTTTTTATGTATTCAATATATTTGCTAGACAAACAGGACACTGCTACTTTTTACTCCCTGTGTAATTTTCCTTGAATTGGCATAGACAGATAACATGCATAGTACCATTTAATTGCTTCTGATAGATTACATTTATATTACTAATATTGTCTATAGATTTTTTTCTGCAGATGTATGCTTTACTTGCAGATTTCACATTTAATAATATACATCAACTAACTAGTAAAGGGTAAAGATAAACTAGATACAAGGTAAGAAAAACAAAACAATAAAACATTAATTTATACTTTTTATCTTGTATTTTCTGCATCTCCATCTATTTGGAGCATTTTGAACCCTGAGATGGCCAAGATTATGTAAGAGATACTATATAACACCAGCTCTCAGAAATGTACCTGTTTTGCTACCTTCAAGAAAGTAGCAGGAAACCGACCACAAAGAGAATAAAGAAGATCTTCAAAGATATCATGAAAATTCATGAATTCTGTTTTAAGATTCACGTGGTAGGTCCTATGTGTCAGATGTTTTTTTTTTTTTATCTATATGTAAGTTATTCAGGGGTAAATCCTCCACCCCCAAATTTAGAGTTAGAACATTAACATCAGCATCATAAGATATACATGGTTTTAATATTTTTTTTAAATTCATTGTCGAAGGTGTAATTATTAAATGCTGCATGAGAAGCTGTCACAAGAATGGGTACAACATGAATTTTTAAAACAAAAATCACAATTTATGGACTCTAAAGCCTTTTTCTTCTCTGATTGCACTGTATTGTTGAAAGTCAATATTATCCTATACAAATAACATGCTTCTTATGTGTAAGTTATACAAAATGTAGGTGTGTACCCACTTTGGTCCAAACACCTCATAATGAACATTAGTGGACAATAAATTTTATTTTTTTTGACAAGGTTACAAATATTTGTTATTCTTAAGCATTACGTCACAACAGATAAGCCTCTAATTTATTATGAATAATGTCAACACTTATTCCAGATGTGTTAATGTATTTTAAGTTAAATTATTTAACAATCCCAATATAAAGAGTTGTACCAATCTACAAAAGTGGAGATAGAAAATAGATACAGTTGCAAGAAAAAGTATGTGAACCCTTTGGAATGATATGGATTTCTGCACAAATTGGTCATAAAATGTGATCTGATCATCATCTAAGTCACAACAATAGCCAATCACAGTCTGCTTAAACTAATAACACACAAAGAATGAAATGTTGCCATGTTTTTATTGAACACACCATGTAAACATTCACAGTGCAGGTGGAAAAAGTATGTGAACCCTTGGATTTAATAACTGGTTGAACCTCCTTTGGCAGCAATAACTTCAATCAAACATTTCCTGTAGTTGCAGATCAGACGTGCACAACATTCCTCTTTATAGAACTGTTTCAGTTCAGCAATATTCTTGGGATGTCTGGTGTGAATCGCTTTCTTGAGGTCATGCCACAGCATCTCAATCGGGTTGAGGTCAGGATCCTGACTGGGCCACTTCAGAAGGCGTATTTTCTTCTGTTTAAGCCATTCTGTTGTTGATTTACTTCTATGCTTTGGGTCATTGTCCTGTTGCAACACCCATCTTCTGCTGAGCTTCAGCTGGTAGACAGATGGCCTTACGTTCTCCTGCAAAATGTCTTGATAAACTTGTGAATTCATTTTTCCTTCGATGATAGCAATCCGTCCAAGCCCTGACGCAGCAAAGCAGCCCCAAACCATGATGCCCCCACCACCATACTTCACAGTTGGGATGAGGTTTTGATGTTGGTGTGCTGTGCTTTTTTTTCGCCAAACATAGTGTTGTGTGTTTCTTCCAAACAACTCAACTTTGGTTTCATCTGTCCACAGAATATTTTGCCAGTACTGCTGTGGAACATCCAGGTGCTCTTGTGCAAACTGTAAATATGCAGCAATGTTTTGTTTGGACAGCAGTTGCTTCCTCTGTGGTATCCTCCCATGAAATCCATTCTTGTTTAGTGTTTTATATATTGTAGATTCGCTAACAGGGATGATAGCATTTGCCAGTGACTTTTGTAAGTCTTTAGCTGACACTCTAGGATTCTTCTTCACCTCATTGAGCAGTCTGCGCTGTACTCTTGCAGTCATCTTTACAAGACGGCCACTCCTAGGGAGAGTAGCAGCAGTGCTGAACTTTCTCCATTTATAGACAATTTGTCTTACCGTGGACTGATGAACAGCAAGGCTTTTGGAGATACTTTTATAACCCTTTCCAGCTTTAAGTCAACAATTCTTAATCATAGGTCTTCTGAGAGCTCTTTTGTGCGAGGCATCATTCCCATCAGGCAATGCTTCTTGTGAAAAGCAAACCCAGAACTGGTGTGTGTTTTTTATAGGGCAGTGCAGCTGTAACCAACACCTCCAATCTCATCTCATTGATTGGACTCCAGTTGGCTGACATCTCACTCCAATTAGCTCTTGGAGATGTCATTAGTCTAGGGGTTCACATACTTTTTCCACCTGCACTGTGAATGTTTACATGGTGTGTTCAATAAAAACATGACAACATTTCATTCTTTGTGTGTTATTAGTTTAAGCAGACTGTGATTGTCTATTGTTGTGACTTAGATGATGATCAGATCACATTTTAAGACCAATTTGTGCAGAAATCCATATCATTCCAAAGGGTTCACATACTTTTTCTTGCAACTGTATGTAAATATACAATTTACTATTTCTTTACCATACAAAAACAATAAAAACTGTATAAAATAACTTGAAGGAGTCCCACTTAACGCGTTTCGCCTGTCCAAGACTTCTTCAGAAGTGTGGTAAAGTCCTCATAAGTTTTGTTTATATAGGCAGTCTAAGAATGAGAAATGCTTCCTGGTGTGCTTGATTGACAGCTTCCTGTAACCATTCTTAATTGACAGCTTCCTGTAACCATATGCGTTACAAGCTGGAACGCATTTAATACTGCACTGGTAAACGCTGCGTCACTTCTGGTATGATGCTTGTGTTCCAGAATGGTTACAGGAAGCTGTCAATCAAGCACACCAGGAAGCAATTCTCATTCATAGACTGCCTATATCAGTGATGGTGAACCTTTTTAAGCCTGAGTGCCGAAACCGCAATACATGCCAACTTTTGTTTTCCTCAAAGTGCCTGAATACTGAGGTTTAAGTTTAGAAAAAACAACTCGTACAGTTGTCCGAACTAATTAACAACTTTTGTTTTAAAAGAAGAACACAACAACAGAGAGTTCAATGATACAAATTTTAAATATTGATATAAATAGATCAAATTAAGCTTATATTTATTAGTATCTCCAACAAATGGAATACACACACACACAGGCTGCTGAATACACACACACACAGTCTGCTGACTACACATACAGACAGTCTGCTGACTACACATACAGACAGTCTGCTGAGCACACACACACAGTCCGCTGAATACACACACAGTCCACTGAATACACACACAATCCGCTGAATGCACACACTGCTGTGTACACACAGACTGCTGAATACATACACACAGACTGCTGAAGACACACACACAGACTGCTGAACACACACACACACACCGACTGCTGAATACATACATACACACACCGACTGCTGAATACACGCACATACAGACTGCTGAATACACGCACATACAGACTGCTGAATACACGCACATATAGACTGCTGAATACACACACATATACTGCATTGAGGGGTGCAGTGTATGTGTGTGTGTGTGTGTTGTGTGTCTGAGGGGTTCTGTGTGTTGGGTGCTGTGTGTGGGGAGGTAGGGGTGCTGTGCTGTGTGGGAAGGTAGGGGTAGGGGTGCTGTGCTGTGGGGGTAGGGGTGCTCATGTCTAGAATGCCCCTCCATCATAATTCCTGTTTATTTCCAGCACATTTTGAAATATTTCATTTTTAAATACTGGAAATATTTGGGGGTCAGGCTATATACTCAAACAACTGCTAATGTTTAAATATATTATATTGAATCAGTTTTAAGTATATGACCTTGTTTATAATTCACAAATCCCAGGATGTACTTAGAAACAAGAGAAGCTCAACATTTTTTCTTTCCAGGTAAAAGACTTATAAATAAATAAATAAATAAACGTGCACACTCTTTGTAACTCTAAGTAAAATCTTGAATTACTATATTTAGGTGAATGCTCCAATGACCACTCATTTTTCAATATCTAAATTGTATTTTATTACAAGTATTGTGCCATTTTAATTGAGTACTTTGTTTACTCCTTTTCCATTATACATCTAAAATCTCAGTAAAATATTCTAGAACTGTGCTTTATTCAGTTAATAGCATTCACAAGATATTAGGGCGCAGGGTAAAAAGTGTTTGTCCATTGTCTTGATGAACATGTGTAGAATAAATGACTTTAAAATATCCACAATGACATACCGGATATCACTGCTTTTGAATAGTGATGTCCCGAACGGTTGGCCGAATGGTTCACGAACGGTTTGCCATGAACGGTTCGCCACGGACTCCAGTCAGCAGACACATTCCAGCCAATCAGCAGCAGACCCTCCCTCCCAGACCCTCCCACCCCCTGGACAGCATCCATTTTGAAGCTGCATTCTTAGTGAGCTGTCCAGGAGGTGGGAGGGTCTGGGAGGGAGGGTTTGCTGCTGATTGGCTGGAATGTGTCTGCTGACTGGAGTCCGTGGCGAACCGTGGCGAACCGTTCGCGAACCGTTCGGCGAACCGTTCGGGACATCACTCCTTTTGAATAATCTCAATATAAGAACCTCATATAATATGTATATGATTCAAACTATGTGTAATAAAACTTTCCTCAATGAACAATTGCTAATAATATTTTAAAACGATAATAAATGAAAGGTTCTGTAAAAGCCGTGCAATGCCAAAACTGGTATTCATAGGACATATGTAACAAAATGTTTCATTTGCTTCCTGTAGAAGATTACAGTGCAGTAAGCAAAAGAACCAATGCGTTTATATATTAAAGGAACACTTTAATATACATTTATTTTTTCCAGTCTGCTTCAGCTGGCTCTGCCCCTAATCTGCCTCCTTGGTTGACATGATCAGAAGTGATGTTCTAAACCAATCACAATACTTTCCCATAAGAAAGCTTTGGATTGGCTGAGACTGCCAATGAGGCAGATCAGGGGCAGAGCCAGCACACTGGTCAATCAGCATCTCCTTCTAAAAATGCATTGAATCAATGTTCATTATCTGAATGCAGAGGGTCGAGACACTGAATGGCAATGCTGCACATTGTGCTGCACGGCCCCTCAAATCACCTCAACTAGTCATTTGAGAAGTGGCCAGTGGAGGTATCCCTAGGCTGTAATGTAAAAACTGCTTTCTCTCTGAATATACAGTGTTTACTATAAAAATCCTGAAAGGAATCTTTACTCACTGGAACAAATACAATAAGCTGTAGTTCTTCTGGTGACTACAGTGCCCACTTAAATATAAAGTAAATGTGGGGTCAAATTGCTCAATTTGGAACAGCAGTTTGTTTTTATTTTAATTATTGGTTCCTGAATTGCATCAGTTCTGTCTTGATTAACAGATTATTTTTATATCCATTCCTCATGGCATGACAACAGAAAACAAAATCATGGGCATAGATATTTTTTTTTGTTGAGAGCATTTGGCAAACTGATGGCCATGCAGAAAAACATATGTTCCAGGGAATAGCACATTAACTAGTAAATCATATTAGAATAGAAATGCATTTATTTCTAAATATGACATAACTTTAGTGGGATGTTTGAGTACACCACATGTATTTAGCAGTCATTATAATCTAGCTAACTTTCCTTTACAAAATTTGGTGTGTTAATCAGGCAGTAAATTGCTCACAGGTGATTCCATTAGGTAAAACAGCACTTCTTTCAAAGTTTAATCCAGTAACCAGATTTTATGTGCTAATTTCTCATTAGCCATCTGTTAAGGGATGAGACAAGAAAAGTGATTTTTTTTTTACTGATTTTTTTTTTCCCCTCAGAAAATCAATTTTTGCATTCAGGGCATACACAAACTGTAATCAAAAACGGTCTATCTATTTGAATCTCAGTAGCTCCATCTTCTGAGAACTCTGACCCCCACGATTCTAAGCCACCATTTGCAAACATAGAAACATCTACCCAGCTTTATGGCAGGCAGAGTGGGAAGAATTCACAATGGCAGTCGCAAATTATAAAATGGCCGCCCATAATTTACAAATGGTTCCACTATCTATGTATTAGTGCTAACCCCTTGAGTACTATAGGCTTGGTTTGCTCATTGTCTAGCAATGTGTAAAACATTCTCCCTTCAGAGTAGTGGCATAAAAGGATTCTGCCAACTTATAAAAGGAATTTATTCTAAAAACTGACATTTAAATCACTGCAGAATACCTCAATATCACCTCAAAAATGAAAAAATTAGTTGTAGTTTACTATTTGTTTTCAGTTGTTTTGTCATTCTGATATATTTATATTAAATACAATAAGCAAGAAGAACACCTTTCTGAATGAAAAAAAAATTATGTATGCTTTTTATTTTTCCCGAATCCCCCCTTATTATCTGAAACCTGAAAAGCTAATAGCTCAGTGGGTATTCATGCTATTATCAGTTTACAATGTAGTAAAGCCTATTCAAACGATGATTACATATGTTAATGAGTGCGGTTATAATGTTCTACACAGTACATTACCTTCAATAAATATAATTGTTTATGTACTTTAATGAGGGGATATAATGCCCTCAAACTAATGGTATTCAGTGAATTGTTATTTATTGCTATAAAAGTCTGCCATTAGAGAAGGAAATCTTAGAATACCTTTTTACTGTGCTTGTTCCCAAGTATTTTTAAAAGCTGCCACTCACGTCTCCCTCCTTCTGACACAGAGAAGGGAAAGCTGTGAGACTCTTCCACAGAATGTCGTCTTAATGCTCTACTCTACCTGAAGAAGCAGGAGGTGGGTTCATTTAGAGAGTTTAATGAAGGTCATTAAGTTTTACCCCTCAGTCAGGTTTAATGCATTACCTGGCAACCAAAATCGGATCTCGCATCAGAACCTTGGCTGCCAACCAAACTGCTCAAACAAAACAGTTGTATAAAACTGCCCACTGGGAAGGAAGAAAAAAAAGGATTTGAAAGCAGCATTGAGGCAATTTATGCACAGACTGAGTATTCCAAGATAGAAGAGAACAATTCTATATTGTTTTTTTTATTTATAGAATTGATCATCTACTGTATGTCAGATTAAGACAATCTACTGCCCTCTGTCAGGGACTTCTTTTACAAAGGGCAGAGGAGATAGATATAGTGGACATAACGTTGTCCACAAAGGCACCCTTTGTTCAAATGTGTTTCCTGTAAATAGAGGAGGGAGAAAGATAAAAATGCAGAACTGTTTTAGTTTGCAAGTTTGTAAGATTTTTTAGGTAGACAAGGCTTTTATCTGAGCTCATAATGTGCTTTATACGCCACCTTGTAAAAGTGCACCTAAAAAAAGAGAATGTGAGAATAGCTTCCCAATGGCTAGTCCTCATTTCAAAAATGTTTTTGCTCACATGTGAGATTATAGAGAGAACCCGTACCATTTGCATACCAGACTGATTCCAGCCTTAAGGGCAGCCTTGATCTGATATTCCAGCAAGTTGATACAGAAACCTCCGACAATCATTTTGGCATTATTTGGGCCTTGTTAGCAAGTTGTAGATTACACCTCTCTTGGCATGGGGTACATACTTGGATTACCATTTGCTCTTAGGTAAACCCTAAAGTAAATGTAAAAAACAGAGAATATTATCTGAGAACATGCCCAAAGAAGGAAAATGATTGTACATGGGTGCTGTATCTCTCATGCAGAGAAAACTTGCCAGCATTTCTGATCTGGTTTACCTTGATCAAATAGGTTCTGTCTGGAATGGCACAGGTAAGCAAAAATGTTATTGAGACCTGAGAGAGGAATTACCAAAGGACAAACTATTGAGTTTTCTGACTGTTTGCCCATTCTCATATTCTCTATTTGTGCTTCAATATACCTAAAAGTAGCAGCTTAACAAAGTGTTAGAATCTCCATGTGCACACAATTTGGGTAATCCTCCATGTCACTGAATTGCCTACATTCTCCCCCGACACACACGCAAGGTTCCCTAGCTTCAATAAGGGACAGATCTGAGATCCCATGGATTTTAAGTGAGCCAAGATAACTGTGACCCTTCACAGAAACAATAAAATGAGTCAATACAAATGAACAAACTTGAAACAATTATCACATTAATTCCATTTATTATATTATAATTTTGTTCTTTTTAGAGCACCAGCAGAATCAGCAGTGCTGTACAATATATCAAGGTTATAGAGAAGCTGAAATTGAACAGATTTACTTAGAGTTTTAAATATTAATATAATGTACATGTAGCTGCATAAAGTTACAGAAGCATAAAAGGTGGTGACCTTAGAGTCTTGCAGGATGTGGGAAATGCTTGGGACGGAAGGTATGGTGGATGCAAGAAGACAAAAGTTGGATTTTAGATGTATTTCTTGGCTAAGATGGGGACAGTTGAAGGACAGGGGAACTTTAGGAACGGGTTCTGGAGATTTCAGTGATAAAGGTAATGGTATTTGATTAGTTGCGTTTTTAGAGAATTGTTTAAAACTGTGAAAAAAGGGAGAGCTTGATAGAGTAATGTCTGAAATCCAGAGGATATATGCAGTACGGGAGAGGTTTTCCAGTGCCATATGTGTGTTGAACAGTTCCTTTAGATGATGCCAAAATAGAAGGAGACGATAACTTTAACACTAATTGATACGTGTGATTGGTTGGCATAACAGTACTCACAGGAAGTAGACATGACATTACTAGGGAGAGGGTAAACATGTAGGTTGTTTATGATATTAAAAATCTTGTATCCTGGATATTTTTTTAAGTAAAAAAGGTAAGATTTAGTGAATGATTTTATGTGGGGGAAGAAAAGCTTAGAATAAAATGCATCACCAATGTCAAAAGGCTTCGACAGTTGGTGAGATATTGGCATTATCAACTTTGAGAAGGTGAGAAACGTTTTGGCAATTTGATATTTTAGATCAGGACAAGTCATAAAAAATACATATATAATGTATTGTGTCATTATCATGCAGATAATACTGAAATCCAAAAGAAACTATTTATTTGTCACAATGCCTTGATGGAGCAAGAGGTCCAAAATATAATTCTGCTGTACTGTCACTAAAAAGAGGTAGTGTGGGAAGGAGTCTAAGAAGGAGATACTGAATAAATGTTTGACAAATAAGATTAGAGCGAGGTAAGATACAGAATTTCAAGTTATGTATTTCTCATAAAACATTACATAACAACCTCAAAAATACCTGACACTAGATAACAGGCCAATAAGCAAACTTGTCTGCAGAGCTTATAGTTTATGTTTAGTCTCTGAGATATTTTGGGGGAGCAGGATAGCTTTTCCATATGGGGTGGCATAGGACCATCCTGAAGAAAGTGGAAAAAGGACCTGTCACATGCAGAGCTATGAGTAACATAGTAAAAAGTAAAATGTGTAAATGAACACAGATATATTCAACATAAATTCAGTTTTAGGTTTTAGCCATTTTGGTGCATTAAATATGGGCATAGTTAAAAGTAATTTATTTAAAAATTATATATATATATATATATATATATATA